AAAATTGTTTTAATCTATTCTATAAAAACCCTACAGCTGCTTCTTCTTCTTCTTCTTCCTTGAGCCAAACGTTTGAAAAACCAGAGAGAGTGTTTTCTGTTTCTGCTGAGAAAATTTTCAAATCAGTCCTGCTTTCTTCTCTGTGGTTTTGTGTGAGCTCACCTCCCAGCTTCAGAAATTTGTTCTCTTTGCCATAGGAGCTTTGTAAGAGAGAATTCTACATCTGTTATCTTGTGCTGTGTAGTTGAGATCTTGAGTAAGATCTACTGTGAGGGAATGATCTGTTGAGATCAAACTGTGTAGTGAGAGAGATCGTGTGGGATCGCTGTGTAGACGAAGTTCCGGCTTCCAAACCGGCTGTGTAGTGGATTTCTCCTCGAGAGTGGGGAGCGGGGACGTAGGCCAGAGGGCCGAACCTCGTTAACACATCGCGCGTCAAGGATAACGATTCCTAACCCTCTCTTATTTACCTTGTTTGCATCTATTTACTGTGAATTGTTTGTTGTGTGTTTTTAATCTGCATATTAGAGCCTTTTGACCCTATCACCCCCCCCCCCTCTAGGGTCCAACAGGGGAGCTATGTGGGATAAGGGTTTTGGGGGGTGTTGTGAGACACCCTATAGTTTAGGGGGGTTAAGTGACATAAATAAAGTTCAGGGGAGTTATGTGCAACACCACTAAAATTGAGGGGGTTTAATGATATTAACCCCTTCAAATAATAAAGTCCAACACCAAAATACAAATACACCAGCCATACCTAGGCAATATAACCACACATGATGCAAAATATCAAAATACGACCACTAACTTATCTCATAACCTAGATACAAATAGAGTAAAAATATGAATGAGACTGAGGCAATTTGTTATTACATTGCACGCAGAAACAGAGAATACACATTAAAAAAATGAAAGAGCTCGACTTTCAACATCAACTTGATTTTAATAAGTTAATTTGAAATAACTAAGCTTTCATCCAATGTGATCATTAAAAAAAAAACTTCAGGTCCTTTCCCCCTTTACATAGATGTATTTATTTCTAAAGAAAGAAATACACTAGTAGAAAATTACACATCCTAGACGGAAAATTCCGTCTAGGAAAATCAAAATTCCGTCTAGAATGAGTATTCTAGACGGAATTCCGTCTAGAATACTCGTCTAGGAAGTTTCCGTCTAGGATATTGTATTCTAGACGGAAATTCCGTCTAGAATACATCCTAGACGGATTAGCTGTGATGTATTGCCAAAAACATGATAGGGAAATAGCTTAATATGACGTCAGATAGACAAGAAGGTTAGCAGATACACATGCTTGATATCTTTCTCTGATACATTGTTAGACGAACTTCAGCATTCATTCTTATGCACCATTCATTACATATCATAAGAAAACAGCCAAACCAGCATTAAAAGAAAAAGTCCAGATAATTGTGCATAGCTAAATTCCCTTTTTTGTTCCCTTTAGCATTATGTCCAACATAATACGGTACAAAATAGTACTAAATTTAAAAAGATTGAATAGGATTAAAGCCAATGAAACTCATTATTTGACTAGACTACAAAAGGAAACAGCCATACCTCGATGGCCACAATCATTATCCACTGACTGACAATCAATTTCAGCTCTCTTATTTTCTGCAGGAGATTGAGAAAGCATGTCAAAATAGTTTTTACTCAGCAAAAAGACCAGAACCTGAATATGAATATTGTTGGTACCATAATAAGAGAAAATGCTATGGTTCGACATGTATGATGGTATATCAGCTGTATCTTCAATCCTTTTTCTTTTCATTCTCTTCATGGCTCTTTTACTGTGCCTTTTACAAGAGAGAGGTACCATAATAAGAAACATATATTTATCACAGGAAACGAAAGTAAGCATCATCATCTACTAGAAACAATATATTTATCAGTTTGCCGAGATCCAGCGGCCCCCTTGCAGTAGAGCAACCTAGTGTCAGCGGTCACGTCGAAACCCCGGCCCAGGGCTTGGATCGAATTCGACAGCGTCGCGATCAGAGCCTTGGCGTCGTTGTTCTTCTCCATCGCGAGGGGATCTGCTTCTCATCGCATCGGAGAGACCAAAGACGAAAGACGAAAGCATAAATTGTCGGCGACCTGGCTGATTTGGGAGGGGGCGGGGTGTGAGGTTGAGGATTTGGGGGGATGAGGCTGATTTGGGATAAAAAATTTCATTCTTGGGGGGAAAGGAGGGCGGTTAAATTTTTGACGGGTTAATTTTCTTTTTTAAAATCACTGTGTATTCTAGACGGAAATTTCAGTCTAGAATAAGTATCCTAGACGGAAATTTCCGTCTAGAATACCTGGTTATTTTAAAAAAAATAAAAAAAATAAAAAAACCGTCTAGAATATTATTCTAGACGGAATTTTCCGTCTAGAATATTTTATTCTAGACGGAATATTCTAGACGGAAAATTTCCGTCTAGTTTAATACATTCTAGACGGAAAAAATTCCGTCTAGAATATTCCGTCTAGAATACATGATTTTCTACTAGTGATATTTATAGTAAATCATAAGCAACTCTTAACATTATTAGTACATAATGACTTACCTTGTCATTAACCTCCTAAGACTTCAATCTCTCATATTGCCAACTTTAGATCAGTGTACTACAAACACAAACAAATAGTTTAAAGATAAATTTTGTAAATTTTTTTGAGGAAAATAGCACTAAAATCATAGAACTGGATAATAGCAATATAGCACACACCATTTTCAATGCTTAAATGACTGCTCTGAAGGATCACTTATTACTTGTAATTATAAAATATATCTCCATCCGAAATCTAAAGGAAAGAGAAAATCGACATTAAAATTAAAAGGCAATCAAAATAATTTACAACCAAAAAATTTATTCACTTGTTCCCTTAAATTTATAGCAGCCAATGCCAAGAAATTTCAACATCAATGTCGGGTTCAGATCTTACCCATCTTGAAACATAATAATAATAAGTTCATTTCCCTATGTCAGATGCTAATAATAATAAAAGAGGAAATTCAAAATAAATCATAAATGAATGGATTTGAATTAGGACGAACTCACCATTTGTATCTTTTGCTAGTCTTTGATTTTTTAAAGGATATCTCTGAATTTTCTGATAGTTTCTCCATACATCGATAAGGCAGATTCAGGAACGTCACAATTCGAGATCGAGTTCTCTAACTCATTGTTTACTTCAATATCATATCCTCCAAATTATTCACATTTCTCCCAAAATAAAAAAGTGTTTTTCTTCATATATTTATATCTATGCAAAGGGGAAAAGGACTTGAACTTCCTCAAGGAGGCACTCGTGCTTCATGTAGTGATCCATGGCGCGCTGAGTCTAAGAATAAACGATCTTTCAAGGGAGACAATTCAACACCTCTTTGATGTCTAGATTTTCCATTTGATCAACAACATCATATAGATCATCAAAACATAATTCTATTAAAAAGAAAAAAAAAAGATAAAGAGAGATGTTAGACCAAAAACTGGATCAAATATGCAGGCTTTGGGACTTTTGAGGAGTCGAAGTGTCAAACAGTAATGAGAGAGGATTTTTTTTTACGGTATTGAAGATGTTTGATCAATAGTAATTACTTGTATTGAGAGAGGTGCCAGAAGATTTCGTCCAAACACTTTTGTCCAACAAGGGATCCTTGGCATCTTGTGATATTGATGTCTTTGTCCATGACATGTATTAGGGAATTTATTCATGATATTGCAATATTTGTGAATAACATCTTGTGGTAATGATGATCAAGTAGAATCTCATTGCATTGTTATCTTCCTGGTGATTGATTAGCTACATGTTTAATTGAGATTGCAGATTATGTAATGCAGACAGTTCGACTTTTCCCTGCCTTGCAATATTCTACTTTCTGATGTTTGCATATGAGTTGTCTCTAGCACCAATTCAGCATGTCAGCTTGTTTATGATCATTCACTGTTTACTATAAAGTTTTGGTTAATGTTGTATGTACGGTGTTTGCTACTCTGTTTGAGTTAGCATACGATTTAATGATGAATATAGGATAGAGAATTGATGGATATATTTTGGCTCGATAACTCAAAAGTATCGGTAGAAAATAAAAATAGGATAGAGAATTAATGGATATATTTTGGCTCAAGAACTCAAAAGTATCCATAGAAAGATTTTTACAATTCCCACTTTTAAAGAGAGTCAATCAATTTATCAACTTATTCTCACTTAACGGATGAGTATTTGAATTCCAATGGTATTTTTGTCAAACGAAAGATTTTATCAAACTCGTGCTTTTAAAAGGAGTATGATATGATAAGTATGATAAGTATCCCTTTACTTATATAGTGCCAAAATCACATTTGATAAATATTTACATACTACTTATTTTTAATTTATAAGTAGGGAAAAAAATAAGTTGAGATTCTCTAACTTATTTTTTGAATACTTATAATTAGATTTACTTATTGCTAATAAAAGACTATCTTACCCTATAAACAAAATAAGTAAAAATAAGTAATAAGTAACTTATGAAGAAGGCTACATCGCACTTAATACCCTATTGTTTCTCCTATTTTTCACTTATGTACCCTAACTTGTATTTGGTAGTAAAAGAATATCCTAAAGTTTTTTAAAGTGCACTTATATACCCTCTATTTTTTTGGCGACACTTAAATACCCTAAGGTTTTTAAATATCCTAAAGTTTTTAAGACTTTCACAAAAACACCCTCAAATATGCAAACTTGAGGGTATTTAAGTGCAATTTTAAAACTTTAGGGTATTTAAGTGCAAGATTTGAAAAGTTTACGGTATTTACGTGTTAATTTTAATAACTTTATGGTATATGGTATATAAGTGTCATCGAAAACAAATCTGGATGCATAAGTGTAAGTTTGAAAAACTTTAAGGTATTTTATTACTACCAAATACAAGTGGAGATAGCTAGGTAAGTGAAAAGTAGATGAAATAATAGGGTAAATAAATGCTATTTAGTCGATAAAGAATCATAAAATAAGTAGTAGCGAAACATGCCCCTAAAAAAACTGATATTTTAAGCTTTTCAGGTGATTTAATGCCCACCAGGTCGAAATTTGAAGAGGGCTCCGCATTTCTTCTCATTTTATAATGGGGAATCCAAGGGCAAACTCCATGCTCGTAGATACAAGACGAAGCTTGGGTTTTCCAATGGAGAATCCCTTCAGCTTCAAGGTTCTCAAGGTCTTTACTGGATTTGGCGTCGGTTGTGGGATTGGAATCGGCGCTGGTACTCCCATTTACTGGGGTAATCTCTCTCTCTCTCTCTCTCTCTCTACTTGTTCAAATTTTGATTTTATTTCTTCAATTGCTTTATCTCGGTTTTGGGGGATTTTTCAAAGAGAATGAGGGGTAGGACTCACACAGTAGACATTCTAATTTCCCATGTAGGGATACATGCTTGTCTTTTGAATTTTTGACCCTTTTGGTTGCGTTTCCTCTGTTGGGCATTTTAACAAACAATTTGCGTGCGTTAGGTATATACCTAGTTTAAGGAGAAATTTTGCAGTTTCAGAAAGCATGTTTAGCTATCTTCTTAGCTCTAAGGTGTAAGGGCATCTCCAACCATACCCTCCAAATTTCACCCTCCAAATTGGAATATTCTAGGAATATTCCAATTTGGAGGGTGAAATTTGGAGGGTGAAATTTGGAGGGTTGCTCCAACCCACACTCTCCAAATGTTTTTCTTTTTATTTTTTTCTTAAAAAAGCCATATAAATTAAATAATGTTGGATATAGTTTACGTTAATAATTTTATTGTTAATAATTTATTTGGTAAAAAAATTTATAACATTATAAAGGTGTCGATGAGAGTTTTAAAATAGATCCCCGTATTTAAAATTTCATGTCGGATACTTATTTATTTAATTTAAAAATTAATAATTTTATAATAATACTAAAATAAATTAATCTTAGTTTCATTTTAAAGATCTCAACGAGCCCTTTCCAAATATATAATGATTTCAAATATTAGATTAATAATTTTTTAACTATATTTATTTATTTGAAATTAAACATTTAATTTAAATTACTAAGAAGGATGGCAAAGTGGTAATTTTTAAGAAATCAAATAGTTAAAAATGACAAAATTATAATTAATAAACCATGAATAGTGTTATGGAGAGACCCTCCATTTTTTCTCCTCACCCTCCAAATTTGGAGGGTCAAATTTGGAGATCTCCAAATTTGGAGAGTGGTTGGAGAGGTTCCACTCTCCAAATTTGGAGATTTTGGAGATATAGAGGCCGGTTGGAGATGGTCTTAGGCCTAAGAGAACTCACCATTGAAAGCTAGTTGTTGGAGGGAGCGAACACAAATTCACTTCTAAATCCACAATTGTCTCCCCCCATTTAGCCAATGTGGGACTATGGACCCCACATTACGTCTGTGTCTGAGAGCACGCTTGATTTAGTTATCGGAATCTGTAACAACCATTTTATGGTTTATTTATTCTTAGTTTTGTAGATTATGATTCTATGCATCTTTTCTTCCTTAATATGGCCTTTTAAATTGTGGTGCTTGTATTGTGTACCTATGTTGGTTTAGGAAACATGCGTCATACACAATATTGTTACAGCATTGTATGACGCTTCTGTTAGCTATATGGCAACCTATGTTCCAGATGGCTGACGCCTTAGTGCTTAGATTGGCTGTAGGAATGATTTTAGGATGGCAAAAGAAATTCAACCTCGGCACCAATCTTCTTATAACTTGGGAAGAGTAGAGCTCTTTTTAGAATTGGGATCTGGACCATGCCTGTCTTAGGCATTATTTGGTCCCGACCATTTGTCTTGTCAGTAGGGAATGCTTCATCTTAATTTATGAGGCGCCACTCTGGCTTTTTGAATGAAAAGTTGACTACTATCTTATGGATAGGATTTTTCAGTGATTTCAAAAATTGTTGGTGATCAGAAGTGTTATTTGGATTTGTAACCATGATTTATTTTAACCATTCAATATGTTGGTAAATATTGTATATATATTTGGACATTGCATTTTGATAGAACTATGAACTAATCAAGATCCTTGAGTTGCTGGTGTTTTCTTTCCTGAGCCACTCTTTTGATTAGTATAATGATTCTGTACAACCTTGATTGTAGTTTGCGGTCAAGGATGTATTGAGGTTTATATTTCATTCTTACCTGTAATAATTTTAATATTCTGCAAGAAATTCTAAAGAATCTTAACCACTTTTACTTGCCTGTTTGCCGCCGCCCCGGAATTCTCCTTTTGTAGCAATTCTTGGCAAGTTTTGAGAAAACTATCTTTAAAAGTTTCTTTCGGCTTTTACCAAAAACTAATGTAACAATTACAATATCAGAATACTTTTCGTTGAAATAAAAAAGTTCATAGGACATTACTATTAATATAAGTCAGGATATTATTAATAATATAAGTTTAATTTTGACATATCTATGTTGTTAAAATTGCCCCGATTTTTTGTTTTACTCTCAAGCTGTGTTCTTTATTTTCTCTACTACAATCCTTAGTACTTTGTTATCTTATCTTCTAATTTGAACCATGGGAAGCTACCAAACGCTTATTTTGCTAATGCTTTTTAAGCACTATATTTAAAATTTCTTTTTTAATTGTCTAGTAATCCCCTTCATTTTTCTTGTGATTATCAGGTGCAATACCAATGCTGCAGCAAGTAATGAGTGCCACCCGAGGTGCAACAGATGCTTTTTCTGGTGTTGGGAAACATGTTAATGGTGCTGTAAGGACATTCACTTATTTTCTGAGTTTTGAGTTCATTACTTAAGGAACATTAAACCTAAATGTTTTCTGCTCTTGTCATTCAGCTAAGGAAGGTAGGAATGAAGAACATTCAAGCTGGTATTGGATGTGGAGTTGGTATAGGTCATGGTTTTGGGGTAGGTAAGTGTCATGCTTTAACTGCTCAAAATGTGTATGTCCCTAATGTTCATTATTTGATTTCATCTCTTTAGTGTTATTTGTGTTAGGTTCTCTGCTCTTTTCTTTATGATTATGCAGTATTAATGTTTGGGCACCATGGTGTACACGAATCCTCACCTGCTTTATAAGATGTCGAGAACTTGGATCCAAACTTTTGAGGTGATTTCTCAGAGAGAGGTAATTGGCAATACGTCTCTTCAGAAATTCAATTTCCCATATAGAAGAGCTAGTTATCGTGAGTGACCCAAAGCATAGAACAGCCTTCTCATGATTTTAAATGAAGGGAAGAGTCGGGTGTACAACATTCTCTCGGGAATGGAGGAGACGATAGTACACTAGGGCTTCTTTTGGTAGAAAATGATGCTTAACATGGGTATTCGTGGTGTCCTTGCTTGAGTATCACCTAGAAATTCTTCAGTTCTCTCTTTTCCCCATCAAATGTGGTTATGCTATGTTCTTGATAGGCACTCTCATTAGACTATGTAGCAGTGTTATCAAAGCCGTCCGCTTCACTGTGCCTCATGTGCCTTGCAATGTGGGGATGTGGCGAAGCGCCTGGTATCTGATGCAGTAGCGCCTTTTTGCACCTGACAAGGTCCTTTTGCAAAGCGTAGGCCATATGCAAGACATAGCTGTTGTATATTACTGTTCTTTAATAATTTAAACGGATTTTATACCCGATGTACATATTCCAAAAAAGCAAAATAAGCCCATTAGGTATTTTAATAGCCAGATTGAGGATCCTAAATGATCCTCATTTACTATTTAATTTTGTTTGATATTAGTCTTGGTTTGACTTTTGATATGGAAACTTATGAAGTTCATTGACACTCTCGTTGGATGTGTTAGCATTATAAATTAAGACATTATTTTGTGATTTGGTAATAGATATGAGTCACGTTGACATAGGTTTTATGTGGAAATTCATGCACATGTTCTTTCGTGCTTGATTATCTATCTTGAAAAATTATGTGTGCGGTGTGTGCCTCGCTTCACTTGGCCGTGTGCATTGCATTGTGCTTTGCGCTTGTGCACGTAAAGGGACTTGCGCCTCACATTGTGCCTTGAATATGATAACACTGCTATGTAGTATGTGCATATGTTGGGTCTCAAGGTTGCTGAACTTGAATCCTCCAGCAGACTATTCATTAGGTGTCACTGCCGTACAATATGATTTCTAGTTGAAGTGCTAAGATATGTGATTCCTTGGGTGATGAATGCCCTTAAGCATCCATTCGGTTAGTCTCAACTGAGTGCATGATTAATGAGCAAATTATTGTTGATAGCCTTAACCAACTGAGTTTAGAACCAATAAGTAGTTGTGCTTATGTCCTTCTTGTCTAACCCATTCCCATGCCCAAGCTAATCACAATGTTATTCGTAGAGTGAACTTAGGTGCAATCCCAAAATTGCATTTATAGTTGAGGATTTTAGTTTTAGGTGATCAATGACTATAATGTGATTTATGTATTGCTTGAATTGGCTATATGCTTTAATAACATATTCTTAGCTTTCGTATTAAGTTGTATGTTTAACAGATATGCTTCACAGGAACAACTTTTTTTTATAAAGAGGGAAAAAAGAGAATTTCCCATAGGAACAGAATTTGACCTCTGAAAGTGTTCTTTGATGTAGTTCAACATCTACATCCTTCTGTTCCTTTTTATTCACTACTAATTGCGTATCCAGCAAGTAGTCATTTCTTTTAAGGAATAAAATAATGTGAAATCTATGTAAGTTTAGATGATAACTGAATCTTGATCATGTTTATTGTAGTATACATATGATATGGTTTATAGCCTTCTACTTATCTGTTTCACGCATGTTTTCAGGAAGCTTTGTGGTATTATGATCAGTTAAGTCATAATAATAAGTTTTGATTAGGTTCACTTCTAAATTCATTGCCAATAGCATCAGAGTGGTAGTTTTTTGTGCATATGTTAAATGATCTTTGAGTGCATTACATCTTTTCCTCTTTAAAGGTAAAAGCAGTGCATTATACCTGTATTCACTTTGCAGTGTTTGTCTTCTATCAGCAGCAGATCTTGCAAATAGTTCACAATGCCATTATTTTAATTTACTAATTAATAACTATATAAGTACAGGTATTGCTTTGAAGCCTGGAGTAGTTCAACGAATTCAGTCTTCTGTTATAGTATGTACAATGTTATCTTCTTTAAATTTCAAAATTTCAATCTCATC